CTAGTCCCTTGCTCCCGGCATGTTAGTCGCCTCTTATGACACACATGGCTTACGGAAGAAGAATTCTGTCCCACTTCCCCATGGAGATAAGAGGAAATAAACAAGAACAATAATTTTTTATTATTTTATTAACACATTGGCCAATTCCCACCAAGGCAGGGTGGCCCAAAAAAGAAAAACTTTCATCATCATTCACTCCATCACTGTCTTGCCAGAGGGGTGCTTTACACTACAGTTATAAAACTGCAACATTAACACCCCTCCTTCAGAGTGTAGACACTGTACCTCCCATCTCCAGGACTCAAGTTGGGCCTGCCGGTTTCCCTGAATCCCTTCATAAATGTTACTTTTCTCACACTCCAACAGCACGTCAAGTATTAAAAACCATTTGTCTCCATTCACTCCTATCAAATACGCTCACGCACGCTTGCTGAAAGTCCAAGCCCCTCGCACACAAAACTTCCTTTACCCCCTCTCTCCAACCCTTCCTTGGCCGACCCCTGCCCCGCCTTCCCTCCACTACAGATTTATACACTCTCGAAGTCATTCTGTTTTGTTCCATTCTCTCTGTGTGTGCGAACCACCTCAACAACCCCTCCTCAGCCCTTCTCCTAATTTCTAAACTAGGAATTCTCTGCATTATATTCACACCACATGTTGCCCTCAGACATGACATCTCCACTGCCTCCAGCCTTCTCCTCGTTGCAACATTCATCACCCTTGCTTCACACCCATACAAGAGTGTTGGTAGAACTATACTCTCATACATTCCTCTTGTTGCTTCCACGGACAAAGTTCTTTGTCTCCACAGACTCCTAAGTTCACCACTTACCCTTTTCCCCTCATCAGTTCTATGATTCACCTCATCCTTCATAGACCCATCTGCTGACAAGTCCACTCCTAAATATATGAATACATTCACCTCCTCCATACTCTCTCCCTCCAATCTGATATCCAATCTTTCGTTACCTAGTCTTTTTGTTATCCTCATAACCTTACTCTTTCCTATATGTATTCACTTTTAATTTTCTTTTTTTACATACCCTACCAAATTCATCCACCAACCTCTGTAACTTCTCTTCAGAACCTCCCAGAAGCACAGTGTCATCAGCAAAGAGCAACTGTAACAACTCCCACTTTGTGTTTGACTCTTTATCTTTTAATTCCACACCTCTTGCCAAGACTCTCGCATTCACTTCTCTTACAACCCCATCAAAAAATATATTGATCAACCCTCCTACATACTCTAACCTGAGCCTCAGTATCCTCAAAAACTCTTCACTGCTTTCAGTAACCTACCTCCTATACTATACATCTGCTACATTGCCCCCCTATCCACCCTCTCATATGCCTTTTCCAAATCCATAAATGCCACAAAAACCTTTTTACCCTTATCTTAATACTGTTCACCTATATGTTTCACTGTAAACACTTGGTCTACACACCCCGTACCATTCCTAAAGCTTCCTTGTTCATCTGCTGTCCTACTCTTCATCTTACTCTTAATTCTTTCAGTAATAACTTTACCATACACTTTACCAGCTATACTCAACAGACTTTTTTTATTCAACAAACCAGCCGTACCCCACCAAGGCAGGGTGGCCCAAAAAGAAAAACAAAAGTTTCTGTTTTTAAATTTAGTAATCCATACAGGAGAAGAGGTTATTAGCCCCTTGCTCCCAGCATTTTAGTTGCCTCTTACGACACGCATGGCTTACGGAGGAAGAATTCTGTTCCACTTCCCCATGGAGGTAAGAGGGCATAAACAAGAACAATAACTAGAAAGAAAATAGAAGAAAACCCAGAGGGGTATGTATATATATGCTTGTACATGTATGTGTAGTGTGACCTAAGTGTAAGTAGAAGTAGAAAGATGTACCTGAAATCTTGCATGTTTATGAGACAGAAAAAAAGACACCAGCAATCCTACCATCATGTAAAACAATTACAGGCTTTCATTTTACACTCACTTGGCAAGACAGTAGTACCTCCCTGGGTGGTTGCTGTCTACCAACCTACTACCACTCAACAGACTTATTCCCCTGTAATTTTTGCACTGTCTTTTATCCCCTTTGCCTTTATACAGAGGAACTATGCATGCTCTCTGCCAATCCCTAGGTACCTTACCCTCTTCCATACATTTATTAAATAATAGCACCAAACACTCCAAAACTATATCCCCTCCTGCTTTTAACATTTCTATCTTTATCCCATCAATCCCAGCTGCCTTACCCCCTTTCATTCTACCCACTGCCTCACAAACTTTCCCCATACTCACAACTGGCTCTTTCTCACTCCTACAAGATGTTATTCCTCCTTGCCCTATACACAAAATCACAGCTTCCCTATCTTCATCAACATTTAACAATTCCTCAGAATATTCCCTCCATCTTCCCAATACTTCGAACTCTCCATTTAATAACTCTCCTCTCCTATTTTTAATTGTCAAATCCATTTGTTCCCTAGGCTTCCTCAACTTGTTAATCTCACCTCAAAAGTTTTTCTTATTTTCAACAAAATTTGTTGATGACATCTCACCCACTCTCTCATTTGCTCTCTTTTTACATTGTTTCACCACTCTCTTAACTTCTCTCTTTCTTTCCATATACTCTTCCCTCCTTGCATCACTTCTTTGTAAAAACTTATCATATGCTAACTTTTTCTCCCTTACTACCCTCTTTACATCATCATTCCACCAATTGCTCTTCTTCCCTCCTGCACCCACTTTCCTGTGACTACAAACTTCTGCTGAACACATTAACACTACATTCTTAAACTTACCCAATACATCTTCAACCCCATTGCCTATACTCTCACTAGCCCATCTATCCTCCAATAGTTGCTTATATCTTACCCTAACTGCCTCCTCTTTTAGTTTATACACCTTCACCTCTCTCTAACTTGCTGCTTCTGTTTTCCTTGTATCCCATCTACCTTTTACTCTCACTGTAGCTACAACTAGAAAGTGATCTGATATATCTGTGGCCCCTCTATAACATGTACATCCTGAAGTCTACTCAACAGTCTTTTATCTACCAATAAATAGTCCAACAAAATACTGTCATTACGCCCTTCATCATATCTTGTATACTTATTTATCCTCTTTTTCTTAAAATACGCATTACTTATAACTAAACCTCTTTCTATACAAAGTTCAATCAAAGGGCTCCCATTATCATTTACACCTGGCACCCCAAACTTACCTGCCACACCCCCTCTAAATGTTTCCCTTACTTTAGCATTTAGATCCCCTACCACAATTACTCTCTCACTTGGTTCAAAGGTTTCTATACATTTGCTAAACATCTCCCAAAATCTCTCTCTCTCTCCTCTACACTCCTCTCTACTCCAGGTGCATACATGCTTATTATGACCCACTTTTCACATCTGACCCTTATTTTAATCCACATAATCCTTGAATTTACACATTTATATTCCCTCTTCTCCTTCCATAACTGGTTCTTCAACATTATTGCTACCCCTTCCTTAGCTCTAACTCTCTCAGATACTCCTGACTTAATCCCATTTATTTCTCCCCACTGAAACTTGCCTACCCCCCTTCAGCTTTGTTTCGCTTAGGGCCAGGACATCCAACTTCTTTTCATTCATAACATCTGTAATCGTCTCTTATTTATCATCCGCACTACATCCACGCACATTCAAGCATCCCAGTTTTATGAAGTTTTTCTTACAGAGGAAAGATTCTTTTCTACTTCCCCATAGACAATAGAGAGAGAGAAAAGAAAAACAAGAACAAGAGCTATTAAGAAAAAGAAGAAAAACCCTAGTAAGAATTTTTTTTTTTTCAACATACCAGCCGTATCCTACTGAGGTGGGGTGGCCCAAAAGGAAAAACGAAAGTTTCTCCTTTTAAATTTAGTAATGTATACAGGAGAAGGGGTTACTAGCCCATTGCTCCTGGCATTTTAGCCGCCTCATACAACGCGCATTGCTTACGGAGGAAAGATTCTTTTCCACTTCTCCATGGACAATAGAGAAAAAAAAAAAACAAGAACAAGAGCTAGTAAGAAAATAATAGAAGAAAACCCAGAGGGGGTGTGTATATATGTATATGCTTGTACTTCCAACAAGCATGTTAGATAGGAGTGAATGGAGACGAATGGTTTTTGGGACCTGATGAGCTGTTGGAATGTGAGTAGGGTAATATTTTGCGAAGGAATTCAGGGAAACCGGTTAGCCGGACTTGAGTCCTGGAAATGGGAAAGTACAATGCCTGCACTTTAAAGGGAGGGATTTGGGATATTGGCAGTTTGGAGGGACTATTATTTCTAAACTGTCATATCTGAGTGCTTCTGCAAAGACAGTGATTATGTATAAGTGAGGTGAATGTGTTGAATGATGATGAAAGTATTTTTTCTTTTTTGGGTCACCCTGGCTCAGTGGGAGATGACCGACATGTTGAAAAAAAAAAAAGCAAGTGTAGTGTGACCTACTGTAAGTAGAAGTAGCAAGAAGTACCTGAAATCTTGCATATTTACGAGACAGGAAAAAGACACCAGCAATCCTATCGTTATGTAAAAACAATTACAGGCTTCTGTTTTACACTTGCTTGGCAGGATGGTAATACCTCCCTGGGTGGTTGCTGTCCACCAACCTACTACCTCCTGGTCCTGTATGTGCTACTATAATTAATTGGGGTCTGTATTCCCTTATTTTAATTAGGTTTGAGGGATAGGTCCCTATGTCAATCTATGTTGCCATCTTTTATCACCTGAAGCCTTAGTAGTGCCACAGGGCTTGTGGCACTACTTAGACTAAGGTGACCAAGCAGCAGTGCAGTAATGTATTTGCACAGTACTTGACAAGGGGCTTCAAAATGTTAAATTTATACTCCTCGAGGAACGTTCCTTGATGCTGGTGAGGGGCTCTTGCTCTAAGGAATTGGATCTGTGCTCTAATTCCTCATATCGAGTCCAAATGTCTTCCATTTCCCCAGCACTGTATGTCCCCTGTGAATTTAACGCTTCCCCATGAATGTAATGATAATAAAATTTATGAATCTTGTTCCTGATGTTGATTTTTTTTTTTTTTTTTTTTTCAGAGACCGGTTTTTAGATTTGGTGGAAGGTCGTGTGAGTTCAGGTGGCATGACGAAAATGAAGGATATATCCCTGAGAAATGTAGAGGGTGTATCAGGGGAGATGATGATCAACAAAATTCAAGACTTTGTGTATGATGAAGTTCTGTCACAACATTTCATGCTACCTCAGGTATGGTGAGCTCTGTGATACATTGTTTCTGAATGTATAAGGTCTTTTTTATTATATACTGTACAGCATTGAAAATATGCATTGGATCAAAATCTCTGCTGTGATTATCATACAAAGTGAACAGTAAATACCCAGCCATACTATTACCAGTCCAGGTTACTGGAAAAGTATTTTAACAGCAAGGATGGCAACTTTCTGGAAGATTATTTAATACAGTACTAGTTAGTGAGAGAAGTTGCATAAATTTAACAAGTAAATTAATATGATTATTGTTTTAATGGAAAAAAAAGTTAATGTCAAGTTAATGTTTAACCCATAAACGGTCCAAGCAGATCTACGTTCACATGTGTAGTGCTATGTACAAAAGTAGATCTACGTTTTTTTACATATTTTCAAATATAACAAAAAAAAAAGTAGATCAAAGTTTTTTTACACATTTTCAAATGTAAAAAAAACAAAAAGAAGATCTACTTTTTTTACATGCTTTCAAATGTTGAAAAAACGTACATATATGTTTGGACCGTTTACGGGTTAAATGGTTTGTCTTGGATGATAAACTAAATATTTGTTATTATTCAGGAAAAATGTGGTGGTGGCAGTTAAAATGCCTAAAATCTGCCAGAAATAGTTTTACTATTGCCCTTATGAAGATAAGAGAAAGATGAGCTAATGTTAGAGGTTTGGTCTTGCTGGTTGAAGGGTACTGTAGCCCAGCTGATGTAGTATGTTAATACAGCAGGAAGAGTGTAGTATGTAGGTTAATTGGATATTTTGGTTAGATGTGAATACAGTGATTCAAGTGAATAGTATATAGGAAAACCTGCTGTGAAGGGAATGGTTATATGTAGTGTAATTGCATTAGTAATGTAAAATGGGCTCAGGCCTGCTTAACCTATTTTCATACTCTAAAGGATTGATGAGGATGTTGTAGTTTGTAGGGTTATCTGAATTGTTATGTAAGCACACTTCTGGCAAGACAATGATGGAGTGAATAATGGTAAGTGTTTCCTCTAATGGATATCTTTACCTCAGTGGGAGATGCTGGTGTGTTAAAAAAAAATGTATATTAAGATAATGCATAGGATAATAAAGAATTAAAGGTGAATAAAAGTGAGGAGTTAAAGCACTGCATGACAGAAAAAAATAAGTTCCACCACGGCCAAAATCTAGGTTAGTAAATGAATCGATTCCTTAATGTTTTGTCTAGGAATGTATAGATACTGTCTTTTGCATCTGTAAACAAGACTCAGAGCCCCATAATTAAGTATGGTAACATGAGCTTCATATCTCCAATCTCCCCCACACCTAAGTTTTTCTCCATTTGATTTTGGTGTATGTACATTCTTTTCTGCCTCATGGCACCTCGTATGCCTCAACACTTCATTTATTCTATGGTTCCCTCTGTCTTCCATTAACTCATCTGCCAACAGTGCCACTCCCAAATATCTAAATGTATTCATATCCTCCATATTCCTCTTTCCAATCTGATATTCAAAATTTCATCACCTTATATTTGTTACTGCCATTACCTTGCTCTTTTCTGTATTCATTTTTAATTTCCTCCTTTTACACGCCCTACCAAACTCATTCACAAACTTTTGGAACTTTTCTTCAGACTCATCCAAAAGAACCGTATCATCACAAAGAGCAACTGTGGCAGTTTACACTGTATGAACTTCATTATCTTATTAATTTCTCAACTCTCCCCAATAATTGAACATTGTTTATTACAATAAGATATAATCTTGTACAGTATTGCAGTAAGGCAATATAGTACAGTAAGTCAACACTAAACATTAAAGGATAGTTAGAAATAAAATCTAAGGCATGCAATTTTTATATGTATATTTACAGGTGTTGGATTATGTGGAATGTTTCACTGGCCCCAATATCATGGCCATGCACACCATGCTTATTAATAAGCCCCCAGACCCAGGCACTCGCACATCTCGTCATCCCCTGCACCAGGACCTCCATTACTTTCCTTTTAGGTAAAACAGCTGAATGTTATAGTACATAAATTATATCACAGACTCACTGTAAGTGTGGTTTCTAAAGTATCATATTTAAAAGTACAGAGGACCCTCGGTTTTCGTGAGTCAGTTTTCATGAATTTTGGTTATCGGCAAATTGGTTTTCGTGATTTCCCTTGGATTTCAGCAGTCGTATGGAACGTGTCTCAGTGGCTCTGTGCACACAAAGCCTCCCACAGACTCATTCAGAGTTAGTCTGGCATTGTTTTCCAGCGAGTGAGCATCACCCCCCACGTTCATACGGAATATTTCGTAATAATCCATTGTTGTTTGTGCTTGCAACTGCTAAATAAGCCACTATGGGCCCAAAGAAAGCTCCTAGTGCCAGCCCTTTGGTAAAGAAGGTTGTGGAATGTATTGTGGCATTAGGGAATTCCATGGGGTTGGATGTGAGTCGCCATGATGTGGAAGAGTTGGTGGAGAACTGCAGTGAAGAGCTAACCACTCAAGAGCTGCAAGAGCTTCATGTGTAACAGCAACAGACCACAGCTGAGGAAACTGCTTCACAGGAGGAGGAACAGAGAGGGAAGAAGGTGCCTTCTTCAAAGATTAAGGACATTTGTGCAAAGTGGAGTGAGGTGCAAAATGTTGGTGGACGAACATCACCCTAACATAGCTGTTGTAGGCCATGTCTGAGACATGTTCAATGACAATGCCTTGTCCCATTTTAGGCATATCTTAGAGATGCCAGAAACAGAACTCTCCGGAACAATTTTTTGAGTGACAGGGGTCCAGTGACTCAAGCTGGTCCTAGTGCCATTAAAAAACAAAGGGAAGTAACCCCGGATGAGGACTCGGTACCTAAAGTCTTTAAGGAAGGGGAGTCCCCTTTCAACTAATAGAAACTTCTCCTCTCTCTTCCCTCCTCCCATCTGCCATACACCAGCAAGTCTTTTCAATAAAGGTAAGTGTGATGTTGTTATTGTTTGATATTGATTTATCATTCTTTTCTGTATGTAATTTTTTTTTTTTTTTTTCAACAAGTCGGCCGTCTCCCACCGAGGCAGGGTGACCCCCCCAAAAAAAAGAAAGAAAATCCCCAAAAAGAAAATACTTTCATCATCATTCAACACTTTCACCACACTCGCACATTATCACTGTTTTTGCAGAGGTGCTCAGAATACAACAGTTTAGAAGCATACACATATAAAGATACACAACATATCCCTCCAAACTGCCAATATCCCAAACCCCTCCTTTAAAGTGCAGGCATTGTACTTCCCATTTTCAAGACTCAAGTCCGACTATATGAAAATAACCGGTTTCCCTGAATCCCTTCACTAAATATTACCCTGCTCACACTCCAACAGATCGTCCGGTCCCAAGTACCATTCGTCTCCATTCACTCCTATCTAACACGCTCACGCACGCTTGCTGGAAGTCCAAGCCCCTTGCCCACAAAACCTCCTTTACCCCCTCTCTCCAACCCTTTCGAGGACGACCCCTACCCCGCCTTCCTTACCCTATAGATTTATATGCTTTCCATGTCATTCTACTTTGATCCATTCTCTCTAAATGACCAAACCACCTCAACAACCCCTCTTCTGCCCTCTGACTAATATTTTTATTAACTCCACACCTTTTCCTAATTTCCACACTCCGAATTTTCTGCATAATATTTACACCACACATTGCCCTTAAACAGGACATCTCCACTGCCTCCAACCGTCTCCTCACTGCTGCATTTACCACCCAAGCTTCACACCCATATAAGAGTGTTGGTACTACTATACTTTCATACATTCCCTTCTTTGCCTCCATAGATAACGTTTTTTGACTCCACATATACCTCAATGCACCACTCGCCTTTTTTCCCCTCATCAATTCTATGATTGACCTCATCCTTCATAAATCCATCCGCCGACACGTCAACTCCCAAGTATCTGAAAACATTCACTTCTTCCATACTCCTCCTCCCCAATTTGATATCTAATTTTTCTTTATCTAAATCATTTGACACCCTCATCACCTTACTCTTTTCTATGTTCACTTTCAACTTGCTACCTTTATACACATTCCCAAACTCATCCACTAACCTTTGCAATTTTTCTTTTGCAAGTATGTACAGTATAAAAATATCCTGCTCCACGCAGTGTATGATGGGAAAAGCAAAACTGACCTTGTGTTTGGTTTAAAATAGTGACTGAAGTGTTTTCTAGTAAGTTTTTTTTTTTTTTGTTTTGTTTTTTAGTTTTATTGGCTGTTTCTTAGTATCATTTGATAGAATGGAAGATGTATTTCTGAAACAGGTAATTTTGGTTGCTTTCAGGACTGGAAATAGTTTGAAAATGGGCTCAAAGAAGCAGAAATATTTTATTTTTGCCATTTTTCTGAGGAGAGGTAAGGCATCTCTACACACCCCAGTCTGTTTTATGGGTTTTTATTAGGTCTAATTCAATTTTTGGGATTCTGTAAACCATGACCAAGCCTTCCTGGGTTTATATACAGCCTCTCCTCACTTACGAATGTACTTGTTTACTGACAACTCGGAGTTAAGATGGGCTCTCTGACAAGTCAGTATTGTATGCTGTATGAGAACTTGGGTCATGGAGACAGGCAGCGCAGTGTCTCAGCATCAAGCATCTCAATCTCCTTCTTACAGCCACTCAATACACTAGCTTTTAAAGTCTCCACAACTACATATTTGTACAAATTTGTACTTTATTCTGCACCCCATAGCACATAAGAACATAAGAAAGAAGGAACACTGCAACAGGCCTACTGACCCATGCAAAGCAAGTCCATGTCCCCCCCCTCATTAGACCAATGCCACCCCCCCCCCCCCCCCCAAGATTAACCCAATGACCCACCCAGTCTGATCATCTCCACTCAAGGATGGAGCACTGCACCAGACCCAGCAGCACAAGCTAGTCTGGTCCAACTCACACCTGCCCACACCCACTCATGTATTTATCTAACCTATTTTTAAAACTACACAACGTTTTAGCCTGAATAACTGTACTTGGGAGTTTGCTCCACTCATCCACAACTCTATTACCAAACCAGTGCTTTCCTATATCCTTTCTGAATCTGAATTTTTCCGACTTGAAACCATTGCTGCGAGTCCTGTCTTGGCTGGAAATTTTCAGCACACTATTTACATCCCCTTCATTTATTCCTGTTTTCCATTTATACACCTCAATCATATCCCCCCTAATTATATGCCTTTCGAGAGAGTGCAGATTCAGGGCCCTCAGTCTATCCTCATAGGGAAGATTTCTGATACATGGGATCATCTTTGTCATCCTCCTCTGTACATTTTCCAGAGCATTTATATCCATTCTGTAATAATGTGACCAGAACTGAGCAGCATAGTCTAAATGAGGCCTAACCAAGGATATATAGAGTTGAAGAACAACCTGAGGACTTCTATTATTTATACTTCTAGATATGAAGCCAAGAATTCTGTTAGGTTTATTGTGAACACTAATGCAATGTTGTCTTGGTTTTAGATTACTGATAACCAGAACTCCTAAATCCTTTTCGCAAGCAGTAGTATTAAGATCTACATTATTTAGTTGATATGTGGCATGGTTACTTACCTGTCCAACATTTAGAACTTTGCATTTGTCAATATTAAACTGCATCTGCCACTTCTCCGACCATTGCATCAGTCTGTTCAAATCATCCTGGAGTGCTTTAGTGTCCTCATTAGAATGAATTGGACGGCCTATTTTGGTGTCATCAGCAAATTTGCTTATGTCGCTATTTATTCTCTCATCTGTGTCGTTTATGTAAATTGTGAACAACAACAGGCCCAACACTGACCCCTGAGGAACACCGCTTGTGATGTGCCCCCATTCTGATTTCTCCCCATTTATACAAACTCTCTGCTGTCTATTTGTCAGCCATGCCTCTACCCAGGAAAAAATTTCTCCTATTCCGTGTGCCTTAAGTTTCCTTAACAGCCTCTGGTGTGAAACTCTATTGAAAGCCTTACTGAAGTCCATATACATAATATCATATTCATTACCATGATCTACCTCCTCAAACACCTTAGTGAAAAAAGTTAGTAAATTCGTAAGACAGGAACGCCCCTTTGTAAAACCGTGTTGAGATTCATTAATCAATCTGTGCCTGTCAAGATGGCTACGAATTGCTGCGGCAATTATTGATTCCATAAATTTTCCCACTATGGAGGTAAGGCTTATTGGTCTATAGTTTGAAGCCAAGGACCTGTCACCTGCCTTGTAAATAGGTATTACATTTGTTATTTTCCACTTATCAGGCACTATGCCAGTTTGTAGTGATATGTTAAAAAGATTAGCCAAAGGTATGCTAAGTTCCTCTTTACATTCCTTTAACACCCTTGCAAACAGTTCATCAGAACCTGGGGATTTATTAGGTTTTAGTTTCTCTATTTGTCTGAGGACCATGTCACTAGTTACTGTAATCGTACACAGTTTATCATCCTGTTCTACATAATCTATTATTTCAGGAATATCACTAGTATTTCCTGGGTGAAAACTGAGAGGAAGTAGGTATTTAGAATTTCACATATATCCTTATCACTGTCAGTGATCTGATCAGAGTTACTCTTAAGTGGGCCAATCTTGTCCCTAATCTTACTTCTGTATACCTGAAAGAACCCTTTTGGGTTAGTCTTTGAATCCCTTGTGACCTTAGCATCATAATCCATTTTTGCTTTTCTTATTCCTTTCTTTATTTCTCTATCTAATTGAATATTTGATTCCTTAACTGCCCATCCCCTCTTTTGATACGCCTATATATGCTTCTCTTTTGACCAATGAGATGTTTTAATCTATTGTTCATCCATTTGGGATCATTTTTGTTAGATCTAATTTCCCTACTTGGAACAAAAGTTGTCTGGGCAGCTAGTACTATGCTCTGAAAAATGTCATATTGGCAACCAAGATCACCTACCTGACCCATAGTCAGGACATCCCAATTTAGCCCACCCAGGTAATTTTTCAGTCCCATGAAGTTGGCCAAGCGAAAATCTGGGACAGAGATTTGATTGCAGTTATCTGGGTAATTCCATGATATATTAAAACTAAGTGATTTGTGATCACTTTCCCCAAGCTCATCATTAACCTCAAGATTATTAATTAGTGAATCTTTGTTGCAAGAACCAAGTCAATGCAGATTGTTTCCTCTAGTTGGTTCTGTCACAACCTGTTCTAAAAAGCAATCCTGAACCGTATCAAGAAAGTCCACCAGACTCAAGATTTCCTGTCATATTGTTCCAATCAATTTTGTCTAAAGTTAAAATCTCCCATTATACACAACATTTTCATATCTAGATGCCTTATGAATTTCGTCCCATAACAGCTTACTGCCCTCCCTATCAAGGTTTGGGGGCCTATAAATCACACCCAAAATTAATTTGTCATGTCCCTCGAGAAACTGTAGCCAAACAGATTCTGTGTTCGATGTTTCTAATCTTATATCATGTCTAAGACAACAATTTAAATTTTCTCTGACATACATCGCCACACCACCACCCTTCCTGCTGACCCTGTCAGTGTGGAATAGTTTATAACCCTGTATGTTGCATTCAGAAGGCATTTCTCTATCTTTCAGGTTGAACCAGGTCTCTGTTATACCAATATTATCTATATTACCTACACTTGCAAGTAATCTTAGCTCATCTGTCTTATTTCTTAGACTCCTACTATTTGTATAGTAAACCTTAAGGGAGCTAGTCACTCGTTGCCCTCTACTATCCCTCTTTGTTTGTTGATCAATTGATTTTGCCATTACTAGCAACTTTATTTTGAATATTGTCTTGTAAACATATCCCTGAGGTATCCCGGTAATAACTGCTGTTTTTAACCCTAATGCTGCAGCCTGATTGTTCCCACAAACACCCATACCTCTATAATCTATCAGTTTAAATTCCTAGACAAGTCATCAATTACCCTCTCAGTTGAATTGGCTAATGCAACTACTCCATCCCCAGAGAGATGAACCCCATCCCTTGCATACATATCACGTTTGCCAAAGAATAGGTCCCAGTTATCAATGAATGGGATTGCAAGTTCCTTGCAGTACCTGTCTAGCCAGCAATTTATACCAATTGCCCTAGACATCCATTCATTGCCCACTCCCTTTCTAGGCAAGATGCTACATATGACTGGGATCCCTCCCTTAGACCTAACTACTTCTATGGCTGACCTGTACTTATCCAGCAGCTTCTCTCTCCTGCCCTTCCCAATGTCATTACCCCCAGATAGAAGTGCAGCAGCACTTGGAAGAGGAAACTGGAAGAAGTACAATAGAAGTTCATTGTAAAGGGGTTAGTGATAGGTCTCAGTATCAAGCAGTTTCCAAGACTACATATTTCGTCTATACATTTGTACTTGATTGTGCACCCCATAGTACAAGATAGAAGTGCAGCAGCACTTGGAAGAGGAAAGAGAGGAAAATGGAAAAAGTACAAAAGAAGTTCATAGTAAAGGGGATAGCTGGTGTGTTCGTATGTGTGTGTTTACATTCTCTGTGTGTCTCGTGAACCAGGCTGCCCAGCTTATGTGGCACTGGTGGCTGAGTGGCTAAGAGCGCTGCCTGGGAATCTTGACCATCTCAGTAGCAGTATCGAGTTTTGCTGACTGCACTCTCTCTCTGTATATACCCGCTTGTTTCTGCATGGTGCATTGATATATAAAATCACTTGTGAGGTCAGAACATACAGGAGGAGATTGAAATAGATGGAATCCATGTTTGAGGCTCACTGACATGCCCAGGCTGGAAAAGAAACACATTAAAGGCTTTAAATGAACAGTTTTGAGAAAGTCAGATGTTTCAGTTTCATATCTAATATAACTAGAAACTGTTCAGACTTTTATTTTGGTAAGTAATTTCCAACATGAGTATATAATGTACTTATCAAAAATATATACTGTACTGTACTTTTGACTGTTTTTTATGTTGTCAGTCCTGTTTACACATACAGTACCTTTTCATTCATCTGCATGCAGTTTGAATAAGATCTCTATGTATAGTTACATTTTAAAAAAATATCTCATCAATTAATACTTTTTCAGACCTGCAAACCGAATTGTCTGTGCTTGGACAGCTATGGAGAAAATTAATAATGATAATGGTTGCCTTTTTGTCCTTCCTGGCTCACATAAAGGAGTGTTGGAACAGCATGACTATCCTGATTGGGAGGTAATTAAGTGAATTAGTTGATTAGTCAGTTTTGCCTTTATATACGAGTATACTAAAAGCCTAAATATTTTGAAACTTTATTTAAAAGAATTAGTTGTGTGCAATATTTTAAGCAACTGAAGATGTTTATTATAGCGTTCCATTGTCAGGCATTTAAAGTAGTATGTGTTTTAATCTTAAACTGTTGATCATGATCTATGACAACGGTGGGCAAATTGCAGCTCGTGAGCTGCATACAGCTACTGAGATGATATTGGGTTTCATTGCCATTTTTTTTCCAAAAATTTAAAATTAATAATCTGTAGTTGTATATGTACTTCTTTCTTTCAATGCACCGGCCGTATCCCACCGAAGCAGGGTGCCCCCCCCCCCCTAAAAAAAAAAAAAAAAGTTTCTCTTTATAAATATAGTAATATATACAGGAGAAGGAGTTACTAGCCCCTTGCTCCTGGCATGTTAGTTGCCTCTTACGACACGCATGGTTTACGGAGGAAGAATTCTCTTCCGCTTACCTATGGAGATAAGAGGAAATAAAAAAAACAAGACCTAGTAAGGAAATAGAAGAAAACCAAGAGCTGTGTGTATATATAGTATATCCTTGTACATACATGTGTAGTGTGACCTAAGTGTAAGTAGAAGTAGCAAGATGTACTTGAAACCTTGCATGTTTGAGACAGTAAAAGAGACATCAGCAATCCTACCATCATGTAAAAGAATTACAGGTTTCTGTTTTACACGCACTTGGTAGGATGGTATACCTCCCTGGGCAGTTGCTGTCTACCAACCTACTACCTAAAAGATATATATCTTCTTTCAACAAACCGGCAATATCCCACCGAAGCAGGGTGGCTCAAAAAGAAGAGCGAAAGTTTCTCTCTTTAACTTCAGTAGTGTATACAGGAGAAGGGGTTACTAGCCCCTTGCTCCTGGCATTTTAGTAGCCTCTTACAACACGCATGGCTTACAGAGGAAGAATTCTATTCCACTTCCCCATGGAGATAAGAGGAAATAAATTCCCAAATGCATCGCGACTCCTTAAACCAGTTCTATTCACAGATGACACCAATTACGTCTTCTCCCACCCAAATCCGGCTATACTTAGTAACACTCTAAACAGCTAGTTACATAAAATATCAAACTGGATGACGACCAACAAACTTACTCTCAATGTAGACAAAACCTACTACATGCTTTTTGGAAACAGAACATTAAATACCCAGCTAAACATATCGATAAATGGTTCACCCATTACAAGGCATACTGAGGGCAAATTTCTAGATCTCCACCTTGACTGAAATCTTAAATTTCAGACCCACATTCAGGACATAACTAAGAAAGTTTCCAAAACTGTAGGTATCCTTTCCAAGATGTGATACTATGTACCCTAAAGGGCACTCCTTACTTTATATCACTCTCTATTATACCCTTACCTCACCTATGGTATTTGTGCTTGGGGATCTACCACGACCAATTACCTTAAACCTTTAATAGCCTAAAAAAAGCGGCTGTGCAGATCACAGACTCCAATCCCAAACAACACACCCCACCACTCTTCAAAAGCTTGAACTTGCTTAATATACAAAATATACACACTTATTACTGTGTCTACTATATATACAGAACATTAACCCTTTGACTGTCGCAACCCCCAATCCTGAGGTGTCTCCTGGTGTCGCAAAATTTAAAAAAAAAAAAAATTATTTTTCCTTATGAAATGATAGAGAATCTTTTCCCGATTGTAATGACACCAAAAAAACGAAATTTGATGGAAAACTGACAGAATTATGCTCTCGCGAAGTTAGCGACCTCGGCGCTGTTTACAAATCGGCAATTTCGCCCACTTTGAGCCATATTTTCAGCTAATTCCATTGTTCCAGTCGCCCAATCTCATAGCTATTTCTTTAGAACTCCATTTTTTCTATCGATTGAGTACAAGAAACTGCCCATTTACCGATTTCAACTACCTAATAATGTGGTAAGAAATTTGCAATTTGGCCAATTTCACGAAAACTAAAAAATATGACAATTTCAAAATAAGGTCCAGAATGAACAATGCAGACATTCCTGGCTCTAAAATAACATTTTCTTTGCTCATCAGTCATGTCTCCAGGCCCCTCTGATATTACTCTTGCTTTCTATTTTGAATTTTTATTCAAACAAAAAATAGAAGACTTACTATTATGCAGACTACTGCAATACTGTAATAATTATATAAATAACATCAACCCATTCATGACTGCATGTTAGAATGGCTAGTTGGACATTTATTGGACAATGGCATCATTTGTTTACTTTTGAACATTGGCAAAAATCAAACATTTCCCTACTTTTGGCAAAAATCAAACATTTCCCCTACTTTGAGCTCCATTTCTAGGTTCTTTTTATAGTAAAATCAATCAAAATCACATCTATTTCTATAACATGTTTTCCATTCTATCAAATGAGACCAAGAAAACGAGAGTACAACCATAAATACTATACAAAAATAGACCACAAAGTCGGCATTTTAATTAAAAAAAAACGGTCGGAGAGTTTTTTTTTCTCATTATGCACTGCGTGCTCCAGGATTTTTTTTATATGGTGCACACTGACCACACAGACCCATTCTCTCACATGTGGGCCTACCAGCTTTCTCCTGCTTGATTTGAAGCCACTAGAATTTATGAGTATATATATGTCAAACACGGTACCTCGTAAGACGTATATATACGGCCGTGACAGTCAAAGGGTTAAACTCCAATATCAACCCTCCACTCAAACTTCTAGATAACTTCAGCAGAATACACAGGCATAACACAAGGCACAAAACACTTTTTGACATCCCTCGTGTCCATCTCACACTACGCAAAAATGCAATGCACATAAAGGGCCCGAAGATCTGGAACTGTTTGCCTGAAACAGCAAGAGGACCCCTTTCCACAAATCAATTTAGGGCGATGAAAACTGAGACACTTGTGCAACATCTGGGTATCTTCACTGTAGACGTTTCGCCATCCAGTGGCTTTATCAATAAAGATTCTAAGACATAATTTGAAGACAGAACTGTATACAAAAGATGAGGTAATCAGTCCCTCAGCCTTGGAGTTGGTGTGAAGAGCACTGTAGTCATGAAGATTCTGGAGCAGAGGCAAGGAGGCTGGCACTTACATATTAATGTCAGGTGGAATGGGATGGGTAGCAGACGAGGGCATAGTCGCTGGTAGGCGGGATTTCCCAGTGGAAGTAGGTCATACCCAAAGGGATGGGTAAGTTGTAGTAGTAGTTGTAATAACTGTGAAGGTTATGTAGATGTCCTCTGAACCAAGATTCCATGATGTTGCAGTATCTGACAAGTTGTACAAGAATGGTATACAATACCATTCTCCAAGGCTGAGGGACTGATTATCTCATCTTTTGTATATAGTTCTACTGTCTTCAAATTATGTCCTAGAATCTGTATTGACAAAGCCACTGGATGGTAAAACATCTCCAATAAAGATGTGCAGATGTTGCACAAGTTTTCATCTTGTCGGTATTGTATACCATTCTTGTACAACTTGTCAGACACTGCAACATCATGGAATTTTGGTTCAGAGGACATCTACATGACCTCCTTCACAGCTACTATAACTACAACTACAACTTGCACATTCATTTTGTATGACCTACTTCCACTGGGAAATCCCGCCTACCAGTGACTATGCCCTCATCTGCTACCCGTCCCATTCCACCTGACGTTAGTATACAGGTCTCCCTCCACATTTGCGAGGGCTAGGGGATCAAGAACCTCGTGAATGTTGAAAAATCGCGAATGTTTGGTGCCCAAATATATTGTAGGGAAATATAATAATAGCATTTACTTAGCTTAACAATACTGCTTCCTTAACCAATTGAACCATGAACAATCATAAAATGCATGAAAACATAAAATATTGTACTAGTGCCAGCCATTTGGTAAAGAAGGTGAGAAAGACTGTAGAATTCAAGAAAGAACTCACAACAGAGTACCACAGTAGAGGAGGAAGAGAGAGGGGAGAATGTGCCTTCTTCACTGATTCAGTGATTCTACGATATGTATGATACTAAAGCAGCATCAGTCAATAAAGGCTATAGTGGCAGCCAGCAATAAAGTGTAGCATTAACAGTGTAGAAAGTAAGTTAAGTGATTAATCGATAGAAAAAGGACAGCACGAATCTAACTCCTCGAATGTTGTTGGAGTTACATAGGGCGACTGACAACACCGCCATCTCTAGTCTCTACCTCTGCTGCCGCCTCCACCACCACTGTACGGCTTATGTCTCGGTGGCCCTTATACACCCAACAACAACACAGCAACACTCGTGACATACTTAATGATGTATTTTATTCATTCTAGAGTATCTGTCATGTTTCTATGTTATTAATATTGTTTATTATGCCATTTTAGATGAATTGTGATAGATAAATAAGCCGTAGAATTGATATTAGTGTCATATTGAAGGACTATCTTGTTCTGTCTCCAAACAAACTGCCATTGCCACAATTCCTAACATACTTAATGACATTTTTATTCATTCTAGAGTAATTGTCATGTTTCTGTGTTATTAATATTGTTTATTATGTCATATTAGATGAATTGTGATAGATAAATAAGCTGTAGAATTGATATTAGTGTCATATTGAAGGACCATCTTGTCCTATCTCCAAACAAACTCTGCCACCTCCACAATTCCTCATGTATGTAATGACATATTTAAAATATGATTGGGTGGCTGGGAATTCGCAAATGTTCGAAGCCCACAAAAGTGGAAAATGCGAATGTTGAGGGAGACCTGTATAAGCACCAGCCTCCTTACCTCTGCTCTAGAATCTTCATGACTATGGTGCTCTTCACACCAACTCCAAGGCTGAGGGACTGATTATCTCATCTTTTGTATATAGTTCTACTGTCTTCAAATTGTGTCCTAGAATCTGTATTGATAAAGCCACTGGATGGTAAAACGTCTTAAGTGAAGATACCCAGATGTTGCACAATGTCTCAGTTTTCATCTTGTTGGTATTGTATACCATTCTTGTACAGTTTAGGACTGTACTCAAAAATAATTTCATCTCTCAATATCAACCATACCCACACTATGCTAAACTCTAACCAAATTTAAAGCAACTCTCCTAAATATTTTATTACCTTTTAACTATTAAGCCATTATTACAAACTTAAAAATGTATGTATGTATCATTAATTGTACAGTACTACCTAATAATAATAAACAAACCTAATTACAAACTTAAAAATGTATGTTTGTATCATAAATTGTACTACCTCATATTGATAATAGAGTAGAATATTAAATATTTTTATTCTACCACTCTTCACCTGTCTAGACTTAAGCAGTCTTTAAATATAAGGTTAAATCTGCCCGAAATGCCTCGGCATAATAGTTGCTTTCTTTGTACCAATCAAATTATGAAATGTAAACGTATATTGTAACCTTAGCAAAGAAATAAAATTTTGATTTTGATTGATTTTTTTGAAACTAGAACTAGTAAGAGAATAGAAGAAAACCCAGAGGGGTGTGTGTATATATATACTTGTACATGCATGTATAGTGTGACCTAAGTGTAAATAGAAGTAGCAAGACATACCTGAAGTCTTGCATATTTATGAGGCATCTACATGATGGACCCTGACATCAATAATGTAGGTCTCTGTGACGGTTAGTAAAAGGATTAAAGCATTGCTGCGAGTTTCTTAAAGATCAGTCAGTTGCCTTCCATGAAATGTTAGCTACCCTGCCACATGTCAAATTATCTCAATTGAGTAGTGGTAAAAAAGTCAAAAACTCCCGGACAGCTAATTCATTTTCAACTGTTTGGTCTCACAGTTTCAGTGTATGACTTGGGTGTTGACAAAGGTGTTGATCTTTTGAGGGTTGTTGTAGTTCCTAGATCTTTTGTCAGATTTGAGCTGCAGCTCCTCTGCCTCTTGAAGGTTTTGAAATAGTTACAATGCTTCTTTCTAGCATGTGTTGAGGTTCAGGGGAGTTGAAGTTATGGGATATGAGGGATAGTTTTTTCAGATCATTGTAACTTAAACAATGTAATGTGCTATACCACATATGAAGAGAATACATAAATTTATAAATATAGCTGTAGTTGTGAATTATGTCACAGGCACTGTTCAAGAATTTCAAGTTTGCATTTAAAGATTTAATGTAGCTACATTATTATAATTTCTCTACATTGTAGGATGGCGTGAACAAGATGTATCATGGTGTTCGAGGCTATGACAATATACCCAAGACAATGCTGTGTATGGAAAAAGGAGATACTGTTTTCTTCCACCCAATTCTCCTACATGGGTCTGGTGATAATAAAACAAAGGTATTGTGAACTTGATTATACTTTTATATTCTATTGACAAAAATACTTAATTTTGATCTTCAGTATCTTCCAACCTACACAATTCTGAGTTAATACAATATTATACTTGCCTAGTTGTGTGTAGTGGTTGAGCTTTAACTCTTGGTTACAAAGTAATGCTGTGTTTATATGGTGTCCAGTTTTCTGTTTTTATTATTACATTTTTTAACATCACATGCTCATTGTTTTCTTTGAAGTCATTCAACTCATCACTGACAGTCACCTCTGAATGACCAAGATCCATGTTATAACTCAAGTTGTGGACCAAGAGGTTAATTTTCCACTTGTAGTTCCAATTTTATACATTAAGTGAATCTGATTTTTCCTTAACCCTTTCACTGTTGGTCCTGTTGTATCATGGCTTTGAAGCCAGTGTCGGTCCCGTAGTATGATGCCATAAGCTCAGCTCACTCAGATAAGCTGTGAGCAGTAAATTTGGGCATAGATATAAGAGAATGGGTCTGTGGTAAGTATACACCATGTAAAAAAATCCTACAGCATGCAGGATTTTTTTGGTTTAAGATGGCAAATTTATGGTGTATTTTCATGTGGTATTTATGGTTGAATTCTCATTGCCTTGGTCTCAATTGATAGAATGAAAGATGTATTACAAAAATAGAGGTGATTTTGAATAGTTTACCGACTAAAAGTACCTTGAAATTGAGCTCAAAGTAGTGGAAATGTTCGATTTTTGCTGATGTTCAGGAATAAACAAATCGAGTCATGCGTCTAGTACACACCAACTGGTGGGTCTAATATGAATTTTGTGTGAAACTGGCCAAATTACCAATTTCTGATCACTTTGTGTAGTTGTCATAGGTAAATGGGCAGTTTCTTGTACTCAGTGAATAAAATAAAAGGAGTACTAGTGAAATAGCTATGAGTTTGGTTGACTGGAACAGTGGAATTGGCCCAAAATAGGGCTTGAAGTAGATGAGATCGCCAGTGTGTAAATATCGCTGAGACCTCTAACCTTGCAAGAGTGTAATTCCATAAGTTTTCCATCAAATTTCATGCTTTTGGTTTCATTACCTTCAGAAAAAGATTCTCTATCATTGCACAAGAATTTTTTTTTTTTTAAATTCTCTGACACTGTCAGCAAGTTTGCGAGTAGGGGCCGCAACAGTGAAAGGATTGAGAGATCATAACTGAGGAGGCAGACTGGGATGATGATAACTTCAAAGTTTAGACATACTTGCAGTGGTTGTCACAATTTATTTCTGACTTAGCACATGACATTCAAATTGAAAACAAACCATGGGATTTCATTCAAAATACTATGTTCATTGGAATTCCCACACCCAAATTTCTTGGTCAGACTTTTCCTCTTAGCTATATAAACCAGTTTTGAGAGAGATTATTAAAAGTCAAGGTGCCCCTTTTCTGCTCACTTGGCACATAACACTTAAAATGAAAATAAATCATAGCATTTCATTCAGATTAGGCTCGTTTGATTTCCCACGCCCAAATCTTTCTCTCTTCAGTTAAACTCTTATCATGATTGTGAACAGAAACCAGTTTAGTGTGATTATGAGTGTCAAATATCATGTGAGTTTGTAATAATATTACAGCTTTGCAGATTCTGCATTTTAATGAATGTTTACCAACAAAATGTGAGCTTACCCCACACGTATTGTAAACAAAAAATTAACGTGGGTCTCCATTTTCTGCAGACTTGGTACATGGCACTCAAATTAACCCTTAAACTGTCCAAACATAGATCTATGTTTTTTCAACATTTGAAAGTATGTAAAAAATGTAGATCTTTTTTTTTTTTTACAACTGAAAATGTATAAAAAAAACTTTGATCTACATTTTTTTTTGTTATATTTGAAAATATGTAAAAAAACGTAGATCTACTTTTGGAGCACTGCATGTAAACATAGATCTGTTTGGACAGTTTAAGGGTTAATAATGAACCATGTGTTTTCAAAATACGGTCAGTGGTATTCCCATGCCCAAATGTTTTAATTACACTTTCTTTAGGAATATCATTACAATATTATAAACCAGTTTAGATTGATATTGTTAAAAATTTAGCTGTGTCCATTTTCTGTTCACTTGGTGCATGGCACTCAAATTGACAACAAACCATCGAATTCTGTTCAGAATAGGCTCATTTGATATACCATTAAACTCTTTCTGATGATTAAGCCAATTCAGGAGATTTGAGTGTATTTTGGAATGGCGGTGTACATGCCTTCGTCAATTTTTTTTAGTTATTTAAAGGTCAAACTCTGACTGCTTTAGCATTTTTGAATTAATATAATATTTAAAGGCCAAGCTTTTTGTGTTATGTTTTCATTCAGATTTTTAAAATTTAGGTCATGTTATTTATATGCCAATTTTTCACTGTTATTTTCCAAAAGAAGCTGTAAAAAATACCTGGGTGTCAAGTAGGCTGGGACTGCCTACCTCTTAGGCAAGAAATGTGTAGGCAAATTATCATCATCTTCTTTCCTTATTTTCAGCACTTCCGGAAAGCAATATCCTGTCATTATGCAAGCTCAGAATGTGAATATATTGATGTAAGAGGAACATCGCAAGAAAACATTGCCAAGGAAGTAGAAGAGGTAGCCAGGAAGAAAGGTATTGAAGATTTGACTTACAAGGTAAACACCCCTAGAAATAATTTTGCATTGTTATCTGGTAAAAAAAAAGAAATACCTGCAATATAAAGAAAATTTGGTTATATAATCTGAAACTACACAAAGAGATGGGCGGGGCACCTTGATGTCATCGATGGGTTTTGGATCTAAGGAATTGACCCTGTCTTCCCTTTTCTTGGATCAAAACCAGTTGTCTCCCATTTTGCCAGGCACTATATGATTCTTATAGGTATAATGCTTCTCTATGAATTTAATACCAAGGAAAATTAGGTATAAAAAATGAGATTTTAATGTAAACCTTAGAGAGGGAAGGTTAAATGTAGAGTAATATCTTAAGGTTATTGAATATGATATTGTGTGTATGGACTTTAGTAAGGCTTTCGATAGAGTTCCACATCAGAGGCTATTGAGGAAACTTCAGGCACACAGAATAGGAGAAGAAATTTTTTCCTGGGTTGAGGCATGGTTGACAAATAGGCAGCTGAGAGTTTGCATAAATGGGGAGAAATCAGAATGGGGGCACGTCACAAGCGGTGTTCCACAGGGGTCAGTGTTGGGCCTATTGTTGTTCACTATCTACATAAAGGACATAGATAAGGGAATAAATAGCGACATAAGCAAATTTGCTGATGACACCAAAATAGGCGTTCCAATTCATTCTAATGAGGACATTAGAGTACTCCAGGATGATTTGAATAGACTGATGCAGTGGTCGGAGAAGTGGCAGATGCAGTTTAGCATAGACAAATGCAAAGTTCTATGTGTTGGACAGGAAAATAACCATGCCACATATAAAGTAAATAATGTAGACCTTAACCCTTTCAGGGTCCGTCCCGTAGATCTACGCCAAAATTCTAGCGCCGTCAAATTTAGCACGAGAAGGCTGGGAGGCCTACATCTAAGAGAATGGGTCTGGGTGGTCAGTGTGCACACCATAAAAAAAATCTGGACGCCCGCATGGCATTGTGGGAACGTCGGCAAAGTAGCTTTGTTCATAATGCCTGGCGGCAAGGAAGCTCTCACTCCCCACTCACTCTCCGGGCGAATTCTGACTCTCCTCTTCACAACTTACAGTTCTAAGACTGATGGAAGTGGAGCTGAAGATGAATTATATGGTTCTGAACCATATGGTACCATTGTGCCATATGGTACAATGGTGCCATGTCATACAATGGTATATGGTACAATGGTACCATATGGTACAATGTACCATATAGTACATTGTACCATATAGTACATTGTACCATATGGTACAGGGTACAGGGACCCTAATGGAAATAATTGTCTGACTTTTTTGGGTTATCCTAGGTTCTCAAAACATATGCTGCTAAGTATGATATTCTATGTAACTTTATTTGTGTATAACTAAATAAACTTACTTATGATGCCACATGCACTTGAGTAAGTTTATTCAGGTGTACAGAAATACAATTACATAGATTATCATACATAGCAGCATACGTATAAAATCCTAGGATAACCCAAAAAAGTCAGGGTGACTTATTTCCATAGTTATCCCTGTATCTGTACCATATGGTGTCCTGTACTGTATGGTACCCTGTACCATATGGTACCCTGTACCATATGGTACAGGGTATCTGTACCATATGGTACAGGGTATCTGTACCATATGGTGTCCTGTACTGTATGGTACCTTGTACCATATGGTACCCTGCACCATATGTTATCCTGTGCTGCATGGTACCCTTTACCATATAGTACAATGTACCATATGGTACCCTGTAACATATACCGTGTACCATATGGTCAATAGGTGTTGGTGGCATGAGACACCAGCCAAGACTGAGTGAGTGGCGACGCAAGTTAGCTACTGACTCAGCAGTTTCCGAGACAAAGTGCTTTGTCATCCACCTCAAGGAACACGTAAAGTTCCTGTACACTTGTAAATATATAATAGAACATTACTAATATACAACATTTTTGCATATTTTTGTTGTAAACAAAATAATAATGAAAATATTAGTGTGTTTGTGTTGAATACAACAGTACCATATGGTACAATGAACCATATAGTATCATTGTACTGTATGATACAATGTACCATATGGTACCATATGATGCAATGGTACCATATGGTACCATTACACCATGTGGTACCATAAGGTACCATTGCACCATATGGTACCATTGTATCATATGGTACCATTGTACCAAATGGTGCCATTCTACCATATGGTACCATTGTATCATGTGCCATATTGTACCATATGGTACCATTGTATCATATGCCATTGTACCATAAGGTACCATTGCACCCTATGGCACCATTGTACCATATGGTACCATTGTATCATGTGCCATATGGTACCATTGTATCATATGGTGCCATTGTACCATATGGTACCATTGCACCCTATGGCACCATTGTACCATATGGTACTATATGGTACCGTTGTATTCAACACAATAACCGCACTAATATTTTCATCATTTTGTTTACAATAAATTTATAAACAAGTTTTGTAAGCAATATAATGATAAACAAATTAGTGCAGTTATTGTGTTGAATACAATGAGTGTACACTTATACAATATACATTATACTGGTCTCACAGGCCACAAATGTTATTAGAAAAAGAAAAAAATAGAAAAGAAAAGAAAGAAGTATAAAAAACAAAAATAAAAAAATGGGATTTTGCGGAAGTCACTGATGTTGCCGCCACTTGGTCATTTTGGGTCAACTTCCCACCGCTGTATCTCGGCAAGTACTGATCAGAAAAAACGTTTTTTTTTGTCTTATTACCTTCACAAAAATATACTCTTTAATTCTGTAAGAAAAAATAATTTTTTTTTTTTTTCAAAATTTCTTGGACACTGGAGCACCACTTCAGATTTTGGCCTTGGACCCTGAAGGGGTTAATATTATGGATTGCAAAAAGGATTTAGTTCTGGCTAGCAGTAATCTGAAACCAAGACAACAGTGCAGTAGTGTTCACAATAAAGCTAACAATCCTTGGCTTCATAGCAAGAAGTATAAATAATAGAAGTCCTCAGGTTGTTTTTCACCTATATATATCTTTGGTCAGGCCTCATTTGGATTATGCTGCACAGTTTTGGTCACCGTATTACAGAATGGATATAAATGCTCTGGAAAACGTACAAAGGAGGATGACGAAGTTGATCCCATGTATCAGAAATCTTCCCTATGAGGATAGGCTGAGGGCCCTGAATCTGCACTCTCTAGAAAGGCATAGAATTAGGGGGCTATGATTGAGGTGTATAAATGGAAAATGAGAATTAATAAAGGGGATGTAAATAGCATGCTAAAAATATCTAAGAGACAGGACTCACAGCAATGGCTTTAAATTGGAAAAATTCAGATTCAGGAAGGATATAGAAAAGCACTGGTTTGAGTGGAACAAACTCCCGAGTACCATCATAGACGCTAAGACGTTGTGTAGTTTTAAAAATGGGTTGGATAAATACATGAGTGGGTGTGGGTGGGTGTGATTTGGACCTGACTAGCTTGTGTTACTAGGTCGGATGCAGTGCTCCTCCCTCAAGTGATGTGTCTGACCTCTCTAGGTCAAGGCATTGGCTTAAACTGGTGGGAGAATTGGACCTGCCTGACATAGGCCAGTAGACCTGTTGCAGTGTTCTTTCTTATGTTCTTATATTATGTAGCTCATTTCTCATATTACAAAATGGACATAATTGTTATAGATACTTTCTAATGAAGATGTGTTGAATGCACTAAATTTGCTCTCTGGAAATTCATAGAATTAGGGAATAATCAAATTGCTTAAATGGAAAATTGGGATGAAGTGCTCAAAATATCTAGCTAACCAAATATCCAAACCTTTGCCTAGAAAACATTAATTCTGTGGTTCTTGATGCATGATGAATCATACAGGAGACAAGAAACTCAGGAAGAACTTAAAGCCATCAATGAAATTAAAAAAAAAAATTCTTATGCCAAATCTTAGGCAAAAACAGCATGAAGTATTTGGATCCCTGCTTAGATGTGATGGTACTTACACAGATGACAGCAAAGATGAGTGAGATACAGTGGTACCCCGAGCTTCATACAGCTCCCAACTTGAACAGTTATGTAATTGTATTATTGTAAGTGCTTTTGTAAGTGTATTTTTTGGGGTCTGAAACGGACTAATCTAATTTACATTATTCCTTATGGGAACAAATTCGTTTGGTAATGGCACTCGGACATCTTTCTGGAACAAATTATGGATGAAACTCTGGGTACCACTGTACTAAAGTCCCAGTATATTTTGGTGTTTAGCAAGCCACTAACTGGACTAAGAGTTGAAAATCTAGATGAATTTTTTTATGACTTGAGACTCAAAATTTGGACAGTCCAAAAATCTTGGATATTATACTAACACCACAAGACTTTGAAAAAGCAACAAATGACATGCCTATGCACTCGGCTCCAAGCCCAGACTAATGGAACTCTGTGTTCATCAAGAAATGTAAGAAACCCCTTTCATGTGTTTTCAGCATTCTATGGAGAGGGATCATGGACACAGGTCATCCCACAGCCACTAAAAATAACAGACATAACCCCCCTCCATAAAGGTGGAAAGTCTGAGGTGGCTACAGTGAAAAGCTCAGTTCCACAAGGCACTGTACTTGCCCCCATCCTGTTCCTTATCCTCATATCTGACATAGAGGTGTAAGCCACAGCATCGTGTCTTCCTTTGCGGATGACACCTGAATTGGCATGATGGTCTCATCTGTTGAAGACACTGCAAGACTCCAAGTGGACATCAACCAAATCTTTAAATGGGCTGCAGAAAACATAAAGTTCAATGAAGAGAAATTTCAGTTATTCCAATAAGGAAAACTCGAGGAAATTTAAACCGTATCGGAGTATAAAACAAATTCCAACCACACAATAGAGCGAAAAACTAATGTGAAGGACCTGGGAATGATAATGTCAGAGGATATCACTTTCAAAGATCATGACAATGTTTCTATCACATCTGCTAAGAAAATGATAGGATGAATAATGAGGACCTTCA